ATATATATATATATATATATATACATTGTATTCATACAAAATATATTTCACGTAATTTTGGTAGTCATTATTAGTGAAACCTGGCTCGTAATTGCGGTCTATTTGAACTTTGTGTCCTTTTAAACGGGGAATTTGCCGAGAAGTGATATCAGGTGGGATTTACATTCCATTATTTATAATATTTGGCCCTACAATCATTTCCATTTTATCATTCAGGATCAATAAATAAAGTACGCATTGAATCTATGATCCGTCATCATTAAAACAAATAAAATAAATGTTTAGTTTCATGTTTAGCCGAGGCTATTGATTCCATGCATTTTGCACTTATAGAACACAAGATTTTTGTTTAAACTAAGATGCTGAATGTCAATAATTTTTGGAAGAACTTAACCTTGACCCACAAAAAGCAGTTGAATGCCATTTAAGAGGTGACAATTCCATAAATTAATTGGTAGTCATTTTTATGATGCTAATAAAGTAGCGGGTTTTTTGTGATATCACGATGATATAAACAGTACACCATGTGGATGAATTGAAAACGAATGGTCATGGCCGATTACTAGGAATAAGCAACATCGAAGCGTATTGTCGGTGACTGATGACAAAATTTACTGTCCAAGAGAAGAGTTTGGCACATTTCATAAAGCAAAATTCTCTTTGTCTCATGCATATGCAATAAGATGGCATTCCATTAACTGCTATGACCTTGATCACATGACAATCTCTGATAATTACATTTATCTAATCTAATTAGGTAAATAGTAGAGAGAAAAAACATGAAAAGCTCTGAAAAAGCCATGAATATGGATCATATTGAGAATGAATTTGCTTCTGTCTTTTACCCGAAGTCCCACCAATGATATTTTCGACAGTGTTTCGAAGTATTTGACATCTTTGTATGTCGTCTTACAGTTGGCCACAATGTATTTCCCATTTCTATCTATCTTTTGTCTGTCTAAATTATTCGAAGCACAACCATGACAGACCGTATTCGGACACATTTCTCAGATTTCTGACCTTAAAGTAACGCGGGTTGGCAGCTTAGCAGCCTGGGGGTGATTGAATGTGTGACCGTCCCGGTTTCAGTGTTTAAAAGCCTTTTTCTCCCACTGACGGCACCCTAGAAGCCAGTGGTTAGCCAAATTCTTGTGGCCTGTCAATCCCGTAATTTTTTGTTGTATTTCGGGGAAGTAACAACTGAGACAAATCTATTACTGATTTTACCGAAAGCAAAACAAGTGGTACAGTTGAAATAGTCCGCATCTGATTTATTGACGCAGATGAGGGAAATAACGGTTGTCAAAAGTACTGCCTCTTGTCACCATTCAAATTGGAAGTACATATGCAAAGGATTTGCTTATTCCTTATTCGTGTTTATTTTAGGACAAATACGTGTTAATGTCACTGGGCATACTCTGCAAGGTGAGCGTCTGGCATGCGATTGTTACCCTCGTGCCGGTCTATTCTCTGCCAGATCCAATTCTACCCAACTCAAAAGACGTCGTTTGGGGTGTCTCCTCCCTATTCAATGGTCTCCCCCCGTTAGCCACAAACAACGGGGCTCCACAGTTTAATGGGCAAATCATGGATCTATTTGGTCAATTGCCGCTCATCAACGCAACTCTGCATTCTCCCAACAACCCACCAGTGAGTATAAAAAAATGCGGTTTTAAATTCTGCCCAGTCAATGCACATAGCTCAGTAGTCTCAATAGGGACACCCAACGGATCAAGTTGGACTTTACTTAGGGGAAAAACGATGTGTGTTTTAGAAACCTACTCTCCATTTCTAAATCTTACGGCACAATTTTCATGAAGAACTCGAAGATGGTGGGTCCGAGGACACGCGGAGTCTCAAAAGACGTCCATGATAAATGGGTTGGTGGGGGTTGCCGAGTTAGTTGGGTTCTGACAGATGATCACAGCAATTGCAGCATCCCCTAGCAAGATGTGTGTGTGGGAAGAGGCTCGAAAGAAAACTTAAATTAGCGGACTAAATTTCACATCAGCATGAAACTTAAGCTTATCGTCTATTATTATTATGATTATTGAATTATATTTTTTGAAAACAATTTGCCATTCATATACAACAATACGGTTTTAAATTCTGTCCACGGTTGGTGTCTGATTAGCTAATTTTTATGGTAGATTTCACACATAAATGTTGGCGCATTTAAAGCTTGTTGGCTATTTCAATGTTAAGCAGGTTGCTAAGTGTGGAGATTGCAAAGACCACCTAGAACTTCCATTGTAAATCTGAAATCAGTTTCTTGCATCGGAATCTTGCTTCGCTTAGAAAGCTTACATATTTATTTTTAATTTCACGGGAAGCCTCATATTCTATTATTATAATGTGTTTACTTTATTTATTTCAAGTGGAAGGCGTTTTGGTAGTTATCATAAGCCCTTTAGCTGACTTCGGGCTTCACA